CGTCGACGACGGCCATCGCGGCGTCCACGGTCGCGATCACCGTCGACACGCCGCTGCCCTCGCCCGACCCGACGGCGGCGCCGTCGATCTCGCCGGCGCCGTCGCCCGCGACGCCGGCGGGCGGCGGCGGCGGCGACGACGACGACAGCGGCGCCATGGTCATCATCATCGTCGTGGTGGTCATCGTCGTCGTCCTCGCCGCGGGCGCGGGCGCGTTCTTCATGATGCAGAAGGGCGCCGGCGGCCAAGTCAAGCCGAGCGGCTAGAAGCGGCGCGGCCCCGCACACAGAAAGACCAAGACCCAAAATGTTCCCCTCCGACCCCGCTACGAAAAAAAAGAAAAAAGAACGTGCGAGCACACCGACGCGCGACGTCCAGCGACCGCCGCCGCGCGAGGCGCGGATCGTCGCGCACCCGCCCGCAAGAGAGCGCACTCTCAACCGCCCCGGCCTCTCTTCCCGACCCCGCTCCACTCAGGCCCCCGTGTTTCCCCCGTATACACAACGTTGACCTAGGCGTCGTCCCAGGAGGCGATGGCCTTCCGCTGGCGCTTCTCGACCTTCGAGTGGACGAAGGCGTCGTCGCGGACCTTCTCCTTCAGTTGCGGCGCGTGGTCGTGGATGTTCAGGCGCGTCGACGCCGGGAGGAGGCAGATGCCGCTCTCCGGGAGGAAGCGCTGGTCGCCGCAGGACCGCCGCGAGACGCGCGAGAAGTGCCGCGCGAAGCAGTCGGAGAACTGGCCCGCGAGGTCGCCGGGCCCTCGGCGGTCCGCGTTCCGCGCGCAGACGCCGTCGTAGCTCGCGTTCGCCGCGCGGCTCGCGTGGAAGCGGATCAGCGTCTCGCCGAGGACGCGCTGGTCGCTGCAGCCGCCGCAGTAGGAGCGCACCCGCGGCCAGCGCATCCGCAACACGCGCTCGAGGGCGCGGTGCCACGCGTCGAGGATGAGATTGCGGCCGCCCGTCGCGCGGAAGAGGAGCAGGCCCGCGTTCGGCGTCGCGCCGCAGCTCTCCTGCGCCGCGAAGCTGCAGCGCCGCAGCGTCTCGAGGAGCCGAGCGAAGGCGTCGGCCGTGGGCGACGGCGGCGCGTCGTCGGAAGGTCGCGCGCCGGTTGACGGCGACGTCGAGGTCCGCGTAGAGCAGCCAGCCGTCGAGCGCCCGCTCCGCGGCGACGGCCCGCAGGAGCCGCGCCTTCTGCGACGTGAAGAAGCAGCCGCGCTGCTTTTTCAGCGAGTTCGCGCGGCTCTCGTCGGCGTGCGCGGCCCAGGCGTCGGGGAGGTCGCTCGCGTTGACAAGTTTAAACTGGTAGGCATAGCCCGCGGCGGCGGCCCAGCGCTCGACCGTGCATGGCGGGCGCGTAGGTGCGCCGCGCGCCTTCGTCGCCGCTCTGCACGACGACGACCGATTCTGCGGCGGTGACCGTGCAGAGCGCCGTGATCAAAACAGCACTGCATGTACATGTAAACAACTTGTCCATTGTCAAGCGCTGCCCATTTGGATTAACGGCACGATGGCGGAAACTATGCCTTATGGTGCACGGTGCAGAGCGCGCGACACTTCTTCCCGTCCGCGACGTCGCCGACGAGGCCGCCGCCGTCCTCCTGGAAGTCGTCGGCGACGGCGTCTATGACGTCCTCGAGCGTGCGCAGGTCGTCCCAGTACGTCGCCTTGCAGCCGTTCTTGACGCACGTGTTCTCGTCGGCCTCCGTCGTCGGGCAGATGCAGGTCGCGTCGCAGTCCTTGTTCCAGGAGTCGGTGAAGGAGCAGGGCGCGCCCATGCAGGAGCTCATGTCCGCGACGGAGCCGAGGACGGCGTCGTCCTCGTCGAGGCTCACGCTGCCGTACTTTGTGGGGAAGCCGGCCTCCTCGTAGAGGGTGCCGTCGTCGAGGGCGTCGCAGATGAGCGTCGTCGCGCGGTGCTTGTCGCCGTCGACGACGGCCATGACCGCCTTGCGGTAGGTCCGGCTCGCGACCAACAGCGCCGTCGTCGTGTCGAGCTGGAACTTGGCCGCGCGGCCGCGGTAGATCTTGCAGCCGCAGGCCGCCGTGTTGTTCGTCAGCGTGTTGCACGTCGCGTCGCCGCAGTAGGCGAACGTCAGATCGTCGCAGATGATGTTTTCTCTCACGTCCTGGTTCGTCAGGAGCTTGACGACCTTGCGCTTGCTCGGCACGGCCGTCGACGCGAGGCTGATCGTCGTCTGTGGTCGGTTGCGGTGGAAGACGACCGCCGCGCCGGCGAGGGACGCCGCGAGGAGCAGGACCGACGCGATGCGTCGTCGTCGTCGTCGCTCTGGTTTGCGGGCTGCCATCGCACCTCGAAATCTAATGCTTGCAGTTTATCGAGGTCGATGTTGAGGCTTTTGCGCCGCAATGGCAGCGATGAAGATCCTCTTTTTGCGCCGCAATATGGCAGCGATGAAGATCCTACTGCTCGCGACATGCCACGGCTTCTCGAGGAGCCCGCACACGCAACGGCCTGGCACCCTCCTGCGCGCCAAGGAGACGGACACGGAGTACGAGCGGTTCTGCGAGTTCAACGGCGGCATGTGGCGCGGCAAGTGCCGGTCCGTGCTCGTCGACGCGCTGCGGAAGGAGGCGTCGCGGGACCCGCAGTGCGACGGGCGGCGCTACACGTCCTGCGTCAAGGCGTCCAAGGCCGGCGTCGACGAGGCGCTGAGCTGGGACGACGAGGACAACGAGACCGTCGTGTCGCTGAAACTGCCGCCGGGCGCGGTCACGGGGGACTTCGACGGGTCCTTCAGCGCGGAGCACGCGGCGCACAACCTCGTGTCCGCGTCGGCGCCGACCTTCGCCGCGGAGGCGGGCCTCGCCGTGGCCGACGACGAGCGCGTGCGCGTCGTCGCGTCCTACGACGGCGGCGGCTCGCTCGCGCGCGTCGCCTACCTCGACGAGGTGCGCATCGGCGCCAACGCCCGGGTGAACGGCGCGGCCGTCGCCGACGTCGGCGACGTCTTCGCCCTCGCGGGCGACTGGAAGGGCGACGCGACGATCCGGAAGCCGGGCCGGGGCGCCGTCAACGTGCTCAAGCAGGACCTCGAGCTCCACACGGACGGCGACCGCCTCTTCCGCGCGCTGACGGTCTACGACGCCGCGGGGGACGCCGTGCAGACGCTCGAGAGCTTCGGCGACGTCGCGACGGCGTCGCTCGACGCCGACTTTGAGTTCGTCGTCTTCCGCGACGTCGGCTGCTGCCTCGTGCTCTCGCGCGGCGCCTACGTGCTCGCGCCGCTGTCCATCGAGCGGGACAAGGCGTTCTACATCGAGGCGGGCGTCTTCATCACCGAGCCGGAGGCTGACCTGCCCGGCGGCCAGCAGCTGCCCATCTCCATCCGCGGCGCGGTCCCGGACGAGAACGGCGACGTCGAGCCCGACTTCTCGGAGTCGAAGCGGTTCCTCTCGCGGTCCGTGCGCCTCTACTCGCCGGACCGGACCCTCGCGTCCGTGACGACGTCCTACCACCAGCTCTATAATTCCTAGTCCCGCTCGGGCGAGGGGACTGATTTCTCGGGCGACGGCACGGGCCGGAGGCCCGACCGCGTCGCCGTGAGCTGCGCCTCGAGGAGCGACGCGCGCCGGCCGTCCTGTTCGTCGTCGGACGACGCGTCGCCGTCGTTCGCGGCGGCGGCCGGCGCCGCGGACCACACCTCCGCGTCCTCGGGCCCGCGGCCGTCGGCCGACGGCGTCCGCGGCGGCGGCGGCGGCGGCGGCGGCGGCGCGGCGGCGTCGCCGCCCCCGCCTACGGCGGCGTCGTCGCCCGCCTTGGACGCCGCGTCCGGCGACGCGAGGTCCTCCTCGGAGCCCGGCGACAGGGGCGACCGCGCGTCGTAGGTCGACGCCTTGCGGCTCACGGAGCCGCGCGCGAAGGCGTACTTGACGTCGTTGAAGAAGTCGCCCGCGGCGAAGTTGTCGCTGACCTGGATCTGGGGCTGGGGCCGGTAGCCCGGCTGCCACTCGTCGGCGGAGAAGGTGTAGGAGTGGACGACGGACGCGACGAACATCTCGACGCAGATGAGGAAGTTCTGCACCGCGTCCGCCATCTCCTTGGACGCGAACGGGTTCGCGGACTCGGAGCACGTGAGCGCCCAGATGACCGTGCCCTGCCAGAACGTGAGGAAGACGACGCCCTTGACGCAGCAGAACTTGGGCCAGGGCCCGTGGCGCTCGAGGCGGTGCGCCGTCGCGTGGTAGACCTTGAGCAGGCCCGTGAGCGCCACGGACACGGACACGTTCATGCACACCAGCACGACGAGCCGCGCGCGGTCGACCCAGGGCTCGCGGCTCGCGCGCTCGTAGGGCACCATGGTCAGCACGTAGTCGCCGACGCTCAGCACGGGCTTGAAGAGCACGAACTGGAGCACCGCGATCATGCACTGGCGGAGGAACTTCTTCGCCGGCGGCTTCCGGCCGCAGCACGGCGGCGGGCAGAACGCGCGCGGCAGCACGTGGGCGCCGGAGTCGTCGTCGGCGGCGAGCTTCGCGACGACGACGGCGTACTTGGAGCGCTGGTTCTTGCGGCCCCGCCGTCCGGGCGTGGGCAAGCCCGCCTCCGCGTCGCCGTCGGCCTCCTCGCCGAGCACGGACACGAGGAACGACACGAAGACCCAGATCGTGTAGGCCTCGTAGCCGTCGCGCACCATGCTCAGGCCCGGCGCCGCCAGCGGGTAGAGCAGGCTCAGCCAGCAGCACAAACCGTAGATCGGCGGCATCCAGAGCAGCGCGAGGATCTTCCGCTGCACCTCGGGGAACGCGAACGCGCGGCTGTGGCTGAAGGCGCCGGCCGCGGCGATGAGGCAGCAGAGGAGCGTGAACGTGCCCGCGATCCAGTGGTAGATGAGGTCGCGCTCGTCGTCGAGCTTCGCGCCCGTCGCCTCGCGGTACTCGCCGAGCGACTGCTCGAGCGCGTCGATCTTCGCGTCGAGCCGCGCCTCCGCGTCGCCGGCGGCCTTGTCCGCGTAGCCCTGGAACGTCGCCGCCTCGGAGCTCTGTTTCTGCTGGAGCTGCGCCACGTCCTTCTTCTCCTCCTTCTCGTCCTCGTCGAGCCGCGACCGCAGCGCGTCGACGGCCTCGCCCTGCCGCGCGACCTCGAGGCTCGCGTTCCGCAGCGCGTCGCGCGTCTCCTGGGACGACGCGCCGGACCCGCCGCCGCCGCCGGCCGACAGCGCCGCGACCTCGCGCTCGAGCTCGTCGACGCGACCCGCGAGGAGCTCCGAGGACGCGGCGAGCGCCGCGACGGCCGCGGACGCGTTGCGCTCGTCGCGCTCGAGGTGCGCGAGGCGCGCGCTCGAGTTCGTCGGCGTCAGCGAGTTCGCGTAGTCGCGCCAGGTGCTCGGTCGGTACCAACGCTTCGTGCGGGCCGCGCCGGGCCCGGTCCAGGCGAGCCGCGAGTAGACCAGCGCGACGATGGCGGCGACGAGGGCGAGGCCGACGACGAGTTTCTTGCAACGCCGTTTGGCCGTCGCGCAGCACGTCGGCGGCGTCGAGCGCGCGACGAGCGAGTCGCTCGTCGATCGCGCGACGAGCGAGTCGCTCGGCGACGAGCCACCCGCGACCATTGCGCCAGTTGGCCCAGGCGCTCCGCGATTGGCCAAGGTCAAAATCGCCGCAAAATCACATCTTCCTGGGGGCACACCGCGACGTCATCGGCTCCGCCTGGGACCATCTCGCCCCCGAGAGCTCCATGGAGAGGTGCATCTCAGCCTAGCGACTTGGCTCGACGCATTGTATCGCTCCTCGCCCCCGGCGGACGGCGTCCCGCCGCCGATTTTGGCCGAGGTCGCCGGTCGGTGGAAGTCTCGTCCAGTCGGGAGAGCGTATGGTTTTGCGTCTCGGTTAATTCAAATCGCGCGCACGCCCCGCCGCTCGAGCTCGGGCAGGAGCCGCCGGAACTCGAGCGCCGAGCTGTCGAAGCCGTGCACGAGCACGAGGGCCGGGCCGCTCGTCGCCGACGTCTTCACGTAGGCCGTGCGCGAGCTCGGCAGGTCCGCGGCCTCGTACTGGGCGGCGAGGTCCCGCGCCGCCGGCTCGGTG